TTGGTGGCAAACAGCGCAGGATATACCACAGGTGACAGCTCAAAATGACAGCGAGCATACTCCTAAATACGAAGCGAGCGAGCGACAGTGACAAATAGACCCGGAGGTCGTAGGTGGACGCATGAGGAGCTGATGAAAGGTACTTAAATTGGTGTCAAACATCGCATATGCAGCACATCCTAGAGATCCCAGAGCGCAAGATGACAGCGGAGTTACTCCGAAAAACGTCATCTGAAGTTTCAAATGTTGCCATCCCTCTCACGCAAAGTGAGATACCAGCATGAGCGACAGTGACAAATAGACCCGGAGGTCGTCGATGGATGCACGAGGAGCTGATGGAAGGTACGTTACTTGATGTCAAACATCGCATTCGCAGCACATCCTATAGATTCCAGAGCGCAAGATGACAGCGGGGTTACTAAGATGACAGCCGGGTTACTAAGATGTTGCTATCCCTCTCACGCAAAGCGAGATGCCTGCATGAGCGACAGTGACAAACAGACCCGGAGTCCTCCTACTGTGCAAGTTCCCGGCGGAGATCAAGTCGTTCTACATGTCCCGGTGCGACGACGACGAGCGGCTGACGGAGTCTGTGGACGTGCTCATGCCGGGCGTGGGCGAGATCGTCGGCGGCTCCATGAGGATATGGGGCCACGAGGAGCTCATGGAAGGTACGTGGGTTGCTGGCAAACAGCGCAGGACACACCATGGATCAGGACACAGGACCATGAGGAGCTCATGGCAGGTACGTGGGTTGCTGGCAAACAGCGCAGGACACACCATGGATCAGGACACAGGACCATGAGGAGCTCATGGAAGGTACGTGGGTTGCTGGCAAACAGCGCAGGACATACCATGGGTTGCTGGCAAACAGCGCAGGACACACCATGGATCAGGACACAGGACCATGAGGAGCTCATGGAAGGTACGTGGGTTGCTGGCAAACAGCGCAGGACATACCACAGGTGACAGAACTCAAAATGAAAGCGTGTTTGTCAAAGGTTACTCTGAAAAACGTGACCCGAAGTTCCCTCTCACGCAAAGCGAGATACTAGCATGAGTGACAGTGACAAATACACCCGGAGGTCGTCGGTGGATCCATGAGAATATAGGACCACGAGGAGCTGATGGAAGGTACGTAAATTGGTGTGAAACAACGCAGGACATTACAGATTCCAGGGCGCAAAATTAGTCCCAATCCAGCGGGGCTACTCCAAAAAATATTATCCGAAGTTCCTAATGTTGCCATCCCTCTCACGCAAAGCGAGATACCAGCATGAGCGAGAGTGACAAATAGATTCGAAGGACGTCAGTGGATGCATGAGGATATGGACCACAAGGAGCTGATAGAAGGTACGTATATTTATGTCCATCACACATGACAGAGCTCCAAATGACAGTGGGGCTACTCCGAAAAACGTCATCCGAAGTTTGATATATTGCCATCCCTCTCACGCAAGGCGAGATACCAGCATGAGCGAGGGTGACAGAAGACCCAAAACTTTGAGACGGCATTTCGGAGTAGACCTCTTACTCTGCAAGTTCCTGCCGGTGATCAAGTCGTTCTACATGTCCCGGTGCGACGACGACGAGCGGCTGACGGAGTCTGTGGACGTGCTCATGCCGGGCGTGGGCGAGATCGTCGGCGGCTCCATGAGGATATGGGGCCACGAGGAGCTCATGGAAGGTACGTGGGTAGGACTGGTAGACTGTCTTATTGGAGTATAGGCTGTCCGTGAGGATATGGGACCACGAGGAGCTGATGCAAGGTACGTGGATTGTTGTCAAACATCGCAGGGCATACCATGGACCAGGACACAGGACCATGAGGAGCTCATGGAAGGTACGTGGGTTGCTGGCAAACAGCGCAGGACATACCACAGGTGACAGAACTCAAGATGACAGCGGGGTTACTCCGAAAAACGTGACCCGAAGTTCCTAATGTTGCTATCACTTTCACGCAAAGTGAGATTGAGCCCGCATGAGTGACAGTGACAAATAGACCCGGAGGTCGTCGGTGGATGCATGAGGATATGGGACCACGAGGAGCTGATGGAAGGTACGTCAATTGGTGTCAAACACCGCAGGATATTACAGGTTCTAGGGCGTCAAATGACAGTCGTGATCGGCGTTTGAATGGGCTTAGTGTAAGTTTACATCAAACGTCCTCACTAGTGAGCGGGTTAAAAAATATATAAATAAAGTTTCCGCTAGGGGCGCTGTAGGACTACTCTGTAACACTGTTTACATAGTTTCAGGTCTCTGTCGTCACTCATGCTGACATCTCGCTCTGTGAAAGAGAGCTGGCAACATTCGAAATTTCGGATCTTAATGTAAAGATGTGTTAATTCCTAACAGAATTCCAGCTTGACTTGGAAAATGTCAAGCCGAATAAAACGAATCATATTCTTCAACACGGTGCACTTCATTTCTAAACCTGTAAACCTTTAAGTGCTGTTTTTCACATTTTTTTTTGCTGCTCTAGCGCCACTCTGGAGAGATTTTGAACCGTTCGTTATTAACAAACTTGAGCCACTAATTTATCTTGCCAGTATCAAGGGTTATAGACCCAATATACTGAACTGTCCTACCCGTGACATTGACAGCGGGGCGTCACCGTCAATACGAGATCGCTGGTTTCGATTTTTGCCATGTTGTAAACTATGTAGTTGAACGATGGTGGCGCCCCCTTGTCAATGAGGTTGGTGGGACAGTTCAGTTTAGGTCATTTGTACCTTTCTAGAGTCTATTATTTTATTTTGCAAGAAAAAGGCAAAGGCATAATGCCATACAGCCAAGTCTCCAATATTCATAAATCTTTACTTATAAACATTTTACGGGTTAAACTTTGTTTTTTTTTTATCCCCAGGCTACAAGCGCGAAGGCATCGACCCGTCGCCGTACTACTGGTACACGGACCAGCGCAAGTTCGGCAGCGTTCCGCACGGCGGCTACGGACTTGGCCTGGAGCGATTCCTGTGCTGGCTTCTGGATCGCTACCACATCCGCGACGTGTGCCTCTACCCGCGCTTCCTCGAGCGCTGCACGCCATAAACTGATTCTTAATTCAAATATAACGCTTCTGACTGTCTTTTGTTTTTTCTTTTTTCGATTTTCTTTTCGTTTGCAGCCTTGCAGGATTCTGGCCAATGTCTTGATTTATTCTATGACGTTCGAAAAGCAAGACGCATTCTTTATTTTAAAAATCTGTTGATTTTGACGATTATTACCACAGCCTTTTGTTTACGCTCAGGAGTTTTTTGTTTGCTTCTTTTGCAACCGAGTTTAACCCTTAAATGCATGATTTTTTATTTAGTTATGAAAAAAATATTTCAATTAGATTTTTAGTCACAGATAGGGGGAAAAATAATTAAAAAAATCTTCGTACGAAAAAAAAGTATATTTTTGAAAATTTACAGTATGTAGCCAAATGTCTACACCATGCGTTTATGCCATAAAATTGTTCGATATTAATTGTTCTATGATTTGCTTATTTGGCTTTTCTTTTCAGCATGTTTGGCTCGCTATCTGAAAAGGAAATTAAGACAGCTCTTGCTGCTTTAAATGATGGTGCAGTCTCAGATGATGATGAAAATTTAGATGATGATAACATCGATTATTACTAGAGATGGGTTTCCACCCGGGTAAAAACCCACATGAGGGTAAAAACCCAATAAAAACCCGTTTCATTCCACCCGTGGGTGTTACACCGGGTGAAAACAAATAATTTTATAATTATTTCAATTGGTATCTTTTCTTTAGTTTTATTGAATTTTTCTTATTTAAGTTTATTGATTAATAAGTAATAAGTCAAATTTAACACTAATATGCATTTATATCGTGGCCAAATCGTAAAATTGATCACGTTATGATGTTGTGACCAATTATTTTATAAAATGGTGTTATTTCAAGAATCGTTGAACCGATTTAAAAGAAATTTAGTAGGAATACAATAATTTGTGATCATGGCAAGGACATGGAGGGGGGGATGCCAAAGATGCCAAACTCTCTCTTTGATGACATTACGGTATAAAGTTACAAATAACAACACCAACTACAAAGTACTTCTGCTTAAAAACTTGAAATCGACCGCCCTTCCGCCACTGTAACACATTGTAACGTTTTTCAAGACCTCCTCTCCCCCCAGATTGCATTACGTAACACTAGAACGCCCCCTTAGCAACAAATACCACTTCTCACTTTAAAAAAACGCTATTTTTGTTTTCACCCACCAGAATGGGTGATAATGGGTAAAAACCGGGTTTTTACCCAAATCACCCAGTTTAAACCCAATCGGGTGAAATGGGTTTTTACCCACTACCCATCTCTAGAGCAGTTGGATAACGGTATGGTTTCCCGGTCATAACTTTTAAGACAGCTCTCTGCGCCCTTTCAAGTCTAATAAGATGAGTGACACCGGCTCCACCCCAGGCAGGGATACAATACAACACCATGGACTGTGCTATTGCACAATAGACCATCCGGAGGGTATTTATATCAGCTGAGTTTCTCAATTTTCTCAGGATCGGCATGACTTTTCGCAGGCGCGAAGTCAAATTAACAATATGAGTGGACCAGCTGAGAGTACTGTCAAGGTGGACACCCAGGTACTTAATGTCATTGGCACGCGACAGTGATAGGCAGCAACAGGTTTGGTCATGTTCATCACATGTGTGAATTTTCACGTCAAAAGGATCCTTTGGTTGTGAAGTTACAGAAGCAGAGAAGGTAATATACTTGGTTTTGCTCACGTTTAGAGTTAATAGGTTTCTATTAAGCCATTGAGCAACAGCACTTAGGGCACCTTCAGTCAATTTACGGGCATGCTTCCAAGTATCCCCATGCACAAGAAGAACCGTGTCATCTGCGTATGTTAGGATTTTACAATTTGGTAAAGTCATTTGGCATAGGCCATTAATATAGATTAAAAACAGGGTAGGTCCTAGGACACTACCCTGTGGAACTCCGTAGCTTAAAGGACGCTTGTCACTGGTGTATGAACCCAGCTTGACACTCTGTTGACGGCCAGTGAGGTAGTCGCGAAAGATATTCAAAATCGTTCCCCGTATACCTATTTGTTCCATCTTGTTAATCAGCATCGGAACAGAAACAGTGTCGAAAGCCTTGGAGAGGTCAAGGAATGTACCAATCACTTTAGCTTTATGATATCTATGGGCTGATGTAGGAATGACATACGACATCGCTGGACTGAATAATGAATGAGTGTGCTATAAGCGCGAGGGCATCGACCCGTCTCCATACTATAGGTACGGTCACATCAGGCTAAAGTTTTGTCGCATTATAGCATCTATTCCAAGTACATAAGAGCTAGCTCTCATCTACGGACTCGGCCTGGAGCGCTTCCTGTGCTGGCTTCTGGATCGCTACCACATCCGCGACGTGTGCCTCTACCCGCGCTTCCTCGAGAGATGCACGCCATAAACTGATCCTTATTCAAATATAACGCTTCTGACTGTCTTTTGTTTTTTCTTTTTTCGATTTTCTTTTCGTTTGCAGCCTTGCAGGATTCTGGCCAATGTCTTGATTTATTCTATGACGTTCGAAAAGCAAGACGCATTCTTTATTTTAAAAATCTGTTGATTTTGACGATTATTACCACAGCCTTTTGTTTACGCTCAGGAGTTTTTTGTTTGCTTCTTTT